CCAGAAGCATGGCTCTTTTCACAAAAACTGTGTGTTTGTTGTGTTTTGAGCCCCCAGCTGTGTCATGGGATTCCAGACTGAAGTTAATGTCAGGGTCGAGTTTATCCTATCTTTCTCCCCTTGAAAGGAAGTGTCAGCGACTCAATGTTTATCCTTTCTGGCTTTCTGAAGAACCTTCTGCACCCTCTCCAGCAATGTAGAGTGTGCATTTGAACAGACATGACCATTAATAGAGATTAAGAAGAGGATGAACTGTCAAAAAATTGGAGAAATTTGGCTTTGCTGGTGGGTCAGCCAAGTATAAAAAGCAATAAGGCCAAGCATTTATTCTGGGGCTTTGTGAGCTATCACTGTTCTTTTCAAGCCATTGGAAGGAAGTAGCTGCAAATATATCAAATCAAGTCCCGGATGGGGTTCAAAGCCAGAGTATGGTTTGGTTGGAATGGGGAGCTAGCTTGCTTTTAGGCAGCTACTGTGGATTTAAGGAGGATCCTGGTTATCTTGAAGTGAAGACTCCAAAATTAGGTTCTAAAGGCTGACTAGAGACAGGGACAAAGTTCATGACTGAACACCATGAGGATGACAGTGTCTCTCCTTTGGAAACTTAAAAGTGTGTGTGTGTGTGTGTGTGTACACATGTCCTTATGTACATACGTGGAGAGAAACAATAGAAGCCAAACACCGTGGGCACAGGAGAAGCTGGAGCACCCTATGTGAGAGGTCAACCCGAAACTCATTCTTTTCCCAGAATCTTTGCTGGACCTCGAGTTCATTTTTACAAACTCAATTCTTCCCTTGTTATATATCCCCGAACCATCCATATAAGGAAGGACCTTCTTTCCTTCTCCAATAAACAAGCCATATTTAGTTATTGGATCCTATTGGAGCTGGAAGCATGAGTATAATTTTTGCTTTTTAGTAATTATTCACTCTGTGTCATCAAGACTTATGTCAGAATTACAGGGTCATGGAATTAGGGAGGGACCATGCGGAACCATTAATTATCCAGTTGTATTCTTAACAAGTCTGGCTACTTCACATCTTGTTCTTCTGTTGGAATGTCTGTGTTGATGCTGTGGCCCTTTAACCAAGTACTGTAGGACCTGACTGCCCAAGGCATGGAATGGCCACTTGACCTTCGCTGGCCCACCCAAGCTGTGACACTGTGTAGGTTCCTGCAACTCACAGTGGGATCGCTGTCCTCCGGCAGCTGTATGGTTTTGTCACTAGGTGGCACTATTCATCTTTTTGGCTTTTACCCAAAGGTGCCTGCTTCTTTTGGAGGGGCTTGTGAGAGAAATTCCAAAGACATGCCATCATGTTCTCAACCACATCAAACTCTTTACAGCTTAGTTTTTAAGTAAGTATTAAGTGTCAGGGGGTTTTATGTAAAATAAATTCTCACATTCTACATATGATTTTAATAGCTTGCATTATTTCTAAATAAACTGCAGGGACTAGACTATGACTTTCAAGACTATGACTTTCAGACTCCGTTTGTGCACCTTCCTGGTCACATCCTCACCACCCTGACTCAGAGCTGTTCAAGTTGTAGAGACAAAACCCTTTACTGAGCCACATGGGATTCAGATCCAGTTGGCCTTACTTCAGGGGAGAGGAATGAAGATCCTCCTCTCAGAATGAAACCTTGGGACCCCCCCCCCCCCACCTTCTTGTTCCGGTCAAGATTCTCGGGTTGCAGATGACCAGAAACTGCCTCTGGCTAACTCCAGCTGAAGAGGGGGTTTGTTGGTAAGATCTTGGGTCCGTTCAGATTTGTGGAGGCTGGAGAACTGCGCCCAGAACAGGGGCAGGAATTCAAGGAGGCTGAGTCGGATGGAATGAGAGCTGAAATCAGGCCCTCACACGGTCTGGATGGGATGTCGCTACAGTCGCTGTCGCCACTGATGAGGACTGGATGCTGGGTGCCCTCCTTGGCACAGCTGCCACTGCCACCCTTGCTGCAGATTTTATTTTACTTTAAGTTACCCCCTCCATGTGTCACCTGCTGCAGATTCAGTCACCAAATGAGAGCCGGCAACAGAATCTCCTACCCAAAAAGTCTGTGTCCGGAGCCGCTGCTCACCTGTGCATGGTCGTTGTCACCTATTACTGTCATTCTAGTTCTTAAAATGTTCAAATAGTGTCCTGCCACTCTGGGCCCATTCTCCTTCCATCTTACAGTCCAACCACTAAATGGTTAACCCCTTGCATGGGGTTGGGGCACAGCTCCCAGAGAGTGCTAAAGTGGTATCTTCTGTGGTTGCTGGGCACTTGTGGCAAAATGATGGTATTTGGGATATTTTTCCTGACCGTATGTACTTTAGATCAGTTTGTAAGCAAGTGTGGGGCTGACACTTAGAAATTACTAGGGGCGCCTGGGTGGCGCAGTCGGTTAAGCGTCCGACTTCAGCCAGGTCACGATCTCGCGGTCTGTGAGTTCGAGCCCAGCGTCAGGCTCTGGGCTGATGGCTCAGAGCCTGGAGCCTGTTTCCGAATCTGTGTCTCCCTCTCTCTCTGCCCCTCCCCCGTTCATGCTCTGTCTCTCTCTGTCCCAAAAATAAATAAACGTTGAAAAAAAAATTAAAAAAAAAAAGAAATTACTAGTATCTGTATTGAAAAGTATTAAGTGTGCAAAGGGCTACCTGCGTATGACAGTGATTTTCATCATGTGTGAGTTGTGGCATCTTTTTTGCTTGATTCAGAAGACATCTCCATTCATCTCTTTCCCAGCCCGAGAATGCTGTTGTGCCATGTACTTATTTTTAAATTAAGATGAATTAAACTAAACTATACAGAGGGAGTCGGTGCGTGAATTATGGACGGTGATTACAAAAAAATATGATATAGCCATTAAATAATGGATATGATAACTGTGTAAAAATCAAGAGAAATGTTCAGGAAATCTTTAGTTTAAAAATTAAAACACAAAGCTGCCAGACATTAAGTTTACAACTACAAAAATGCTACTTGTTGAAGATAAAGGTTAGGAAGGACTATAAAGAAAGAAAATACATTTGATTAAGGTAGCTTCATGGCTGAATCAAAAACATGTCTTCAATCACTTTAAAAGTTGAACAAAACCTTAATGAAATTATTAAAGTTATTTTATAAATAAAAATGGGTGCCATGATGACAGCCTTTTTGGTCTTGGGAGGCAAACTGGGGTATCCTAAAACCGGGCTTGGGCACCACTGGGGTGTACAGAACACAGAAGGTTGTGTTCCTTAACTGAAAGAGCAAATGTTTCCACAGGTGGGGGGGAGGGGCGGCTGTTGAAGGTCACAGATAGTCTCAGGTGTATTTGACAGTGTCATAGACAAGCTGTATTTGACAGTGTCAGAGACAAGCTACTGCTGATTCAGGCCGCAGAGGACTTAGAATGATTTCCTTTTTGCCCCTAGCATCCTACTCAGCTCCGAGGACAGTAAGCAAGGCAGCGGCCCAAGGCAGCGGTCCGTGTGTTACAAAGGAAACTAACACAGGTCTCCTTGTGCAGACCCTCAGACCATACGGTGGCCTTCTTATTACAGGAGTCATGAACTAGAGAGTTGATGTCCTCTCCCTCATTGCTTCTCACATTTTAAAGTGCAAAGAGACCAGCTGGGGATCTTGTTAAAATGCAGATTCTGATTCAGTTGGTGTAGGGTCAAGCCTGAGTTTCTGCATTTTTAATAAGCTCCCAGCTGATGCCAGAACTGCTGGTCTGTGGACCACACTTTAAATAGCAAGGTTCCGTATATCCTGAAGGCTCGCTTTTCAGATTTCTTTCCAATATGTTCAGCTAGACCTTTTTATTCAAAATGTGTGCTTTGAAAAGTATAGAATGTTGTTGAGAGATGAAAGACCTGCACAAAGGGACGGAGAGTCTATTCTCATGAATTGAAAAATCCAGTTTTGTTAAAATGTTAATTTTCCTTCAGCTGTATGGATTCAACATGATCCCAATCAAAAGGCCAGCACCGTTTCTATTTTGTTTTGTTTTTGGTAGAAATCGGTAAGATTCTAAACTGTGTGAAAATGTGAAGGATCTAGAAGGGCCAAAAATGATTTTGAGAAAAAATGAAGTTGGAAGACTGACACTACCTGATTTCAAGACTTAGGCTAAAGCTAGGGCAGTCAGATAATTAGTTGTGGGTTAAAGTCAGATCAGTGGAACAGAAGAAAGTCCAGAAATAGACCCCCACATACGTGACTAATTCCCAAATTGTGGTATGCTAAGTGAGAGAAGCCAGCTGCAAAAGATTACATACACTGTGATGCCATGTGTAAAATGTTCTAGAAAAAAGGGTTAAACTATAGTGATAGAAAGCAGATCAGTGGTTACTGAAGACTTGGGAGGAGACCATAGTGAGTGAGTAAGTAGAATGCATTCCCACCTTGGGGCCCAGAGTGCACAACCTTCAGGTCAGTCTGTTTAGGTTCCACTACCAATCTGTGCCCCTCTCTGTACCCCGGTCTCCTCATCTGTGCAAACTAATACAGTGTCAGTGCTTACCTTGTAGGGTCATTGGGAAGATCAAATGAATATATTTGATGCATCAAGAACATTTCCTTGCTCATAATAAGCTACGTATATATAACTCATTATATATACGTATATATACGTATATATACTTATTATTCTTTGATAATCAGTTTTTGTTGTGATTTTACCACTTTCTCACAAAATTTGGTTCTTTCCTTCACCCTCTCCTTGATCCATGTGCATTCATGGAACTTGGGGTTTTTAATAGAATCTTAGAACTGGAAGAGGTCTTGGATAGTATCTTAACAAAGTACGGGTGACAAAATGGAGGCCAAGGAGGTTGAGTGACGTGCCCAACATCATGTTCCCACGTAGCCAACCAAGAACTAAGGGCATGGCCAGGAGACTCCTCGTTCCGCTCTGTTTTATCAAGGATTATGTATGGTGTTTGCATTCTTAATGTAAACCATTGGGACTTCTTGTGAACCCACCATTCCTCAATTCTGTTGTGTTGGTGTTTGTTTTTCTGCAGAGCAGTTCAGAGCCCCAGTTGCAGAAGACTTGTCCTGTTACCACCATGAGCTCTGGTAAGTCACTTTAAATCCTGTCTTTCTCTTCTGAACAAATCTACAAAACTGGGTGGTTTACCCAGATTTCCCACCTACTTTTAAGGCCCCAAATGCATTTCATTTTTTATTTTTTGAGACCTGGGTAAGCGTCAAAGCTTTGTCGTAAGTCGTCATTGCTACCATCACCTTCATTATTAATGATTTAATGAGCACCTGTTATGTCTTAAGAACTATGATCTACATTTCACATGCGCTATGTCCTAATTTTTATATATTTCTAATTTTTAAAACAACTTTATTGAGATACAATTGGCATAAAATGAACTGCAGATATTTCGAGTGTACAACTTGATAAATGTTGACATATGTATACACAGTGGCATTATTTAATCCCAGTGACTACAGCAAAAGTAAACAGATTGACCATAACTGCTCCAAGGAGTGAGCTGTTCTAACGTTTTCTTCATCGAGGCTGGAACAGCAGTTTGCTTACGTTTTTGCTATGCCTTTGGTAGTAACAATCAAGACCTAAGGAAATGAACAGTTTTTAGTATTTTTATTATTTATTTATGAGAGAGGGAGAGTGCACATGGGGGCATAGGGGAGGGGTGGAGGTGGGGAGAGAGAGAGAAAGAATGAGAATCTTAAGCAGGCTCCACGCCCAGCATCGGACACAGGGCTCCATCTCATGACTATGAGATCATCACCTGATCTGAAATCAAGAGTTGGACACTTAACCTACTGAGCCACCCAGGCGCCAGCCCGAGTTTTGAGTATTTTTAGTTTAAAGCGGGGATAGAAAGCACGGGCAAGGGAAGACAGAGAAGGGAACAGGTCCCCACTCGTTGTGTAGCCAAGTACTGTCAGCTTTCCAGCCCAGAATTCAGGGCAGAGAAGTTTCCATCTGGAGACTAAGGCCCACCTTGGCTTCTGAGCATGCCCTACAGCCTCCTGAGACCTGTAGGCTGAGGGGGAGTTGGGCAGATGACCAAGTCGTAGCTCATTCAAAAAGGTCTCCTGGGGGTGCCTGGGTGGCTCAGTCGGTTAAGCGTCCAACTCTTGATTTCTGCTCAGGTCATGATCTCACGGTTCATGAGTTCGAGCCCCGCATCAGTCTCTGTGCTGACAGCACAGAGCTGGTTTGGGATTTTCTCTCTCTGCCCCTCCCCCGCTCGCCTGTGCGCATGTGCTCTCTCTCTCAAAATAAATAAATCTTTAAAAGAAAAAAGGTCTCCTAATTCTGCATTCTCTCTGGAGTGTTAATCTAATCTCTGCCCATTAAAAACAAGCCTTTCTCGGGAGGCTGGGTAGCTCAGTCAGTTGAGTGTCCCAACTTTGGCTCAGTTCATGATCTCATAGTTAGTGGGTTCGAGCCCTGTGCCGGGCTCTGTGCTGACAGCTCAGAACCTGGAGCCTGCTTCAGGTTCTGTGTCTCCCTCTCCCCGCCACCCCCCACTCCCCGCACTCTGTCTCTCTCTCTCTCTAAAATAAATAAACATGAAGAAAAAAAAAATAAAAAGTCTTTCCATTTATTGACACACAGTGCCCTGTTAGCCAAATCCTAAATTGTGCAGGACAGCATGTGCTTAGGACAGAGGATGGCTCCAGGTGGAACAGTGCAGGGCCTCAACTTGGCTTCCTCTCACACCAACTGTATGGCCTCTGGCCTGTGGGGGCCATGTCAGCATTCTCCTCTGTGAAATGGACATCATGAAAGCACCGGCCCGCCCGGACTTTGTGAGGATGAAGTGAGGCAGTGCTTCTCAAGTACTGTGCCCGCAGCATCAGCAGGGTTGGGTCCTCCGTTGTCAGTTCAGCTCACATGTCCTCCTTGAGAGGAGGGGAACTCGACTTGTCTCTGATTCCCTGAGCGCTTTTGCTGCACATGCAGATGCCACACACTTTCTTTTTCTCTCCACGTGGACTTGGGTACCTCCAGGAGCTCCTGCTTTGTAACTCATTTTTTTTCTTTTTGTTTGCTTGGCTTTTTGGTTTTGCTGTCATTTAAAACAGGCCAGGGCTTTTATTTTTTATGTATTTTTTACTTTTCTTTCTTTCTTTTTTTTTTTTAACTTTTGCCCTAAAATTTCTGGCTCTACCAGAGTTCGCCTAAGCTGGCATTGCCGCTCCTGGCACGCTTAATGGTAGAAGGAGGAAGAAGGGAGGGGCCCAGCAGGAAAGTGAGGGTGAGGATGGGCCTGCGGGACTTCTCCCAGGTTCGCTGTCAGGCGTGGTGCGAGAAGGCATTTCATAGAAAGAGTCCAAAAAATCTGGACCTTTTGGCCTCATAATCTCACTCTTGGGAATTTCCATCTTAATTCAGAGGAAACAAAAACATCACCCACATGAAGGTGGGGAGTGAGCAGGTTCCTGATGTGCATTTGTTTGATGGAATATTATGCCACTATTGAAAGTGATCATTAAGGGCACCTGGGTGGCTCAGTCGGTTAAGCGTCGGGCTTCGGCTCTGGTCATGATCTCACTGTTCGTAAGTTCGAGCCCCGCATCTAGCTCTGTGCTGACAGCTCAGAGCCTGGAGCCCTCTTCAGAGTCCGTATCTCCCTCTCTCTGACCCTCCCCTGCTCACACTCTCTCTCTCTCTCTCTCAAAAATAAATAAACATTAAAAAGAAATAGATCGTTAGGAAGAAAGCAGCTGTGTAGAAAACATTAGTTTTAACATTTGGTGGAAAGAGAAGCATGAAAATGATGGCACTTTTTTAAAAAAATATTTTTATTTATTTAGTTTACATCCAAGTTAGCATATAGTGCACCAACGATTTCGGGAGTAGATTCCTTAGTGCCCCTTACCCATTTAGCCCATCCTGCCTCCCACAACCCCTCCAGGGGTTGTTCTCTCTGGAGAACCCTCCGTTTGTTCTCCATATTTATGAGTCTCTTCTGTTTTGTCTCCCTCCCTGTTTTTATATGATTTTTGCTTCCCTTCCCTTTTGTTCATCTGTTTTGTCTCTTAAAGTCCTCATATGAGTGAAGTCGTATGATATTTGTCTTTCTCTAATTTCACTTAGCAAAATACCCTCCAGTTCCATCCATGTAGTTGCAAATGGCAAGATATCATTCTTTTTGATTGCCGAGTAATACTCCATTGTATATATATGCCATATCTTCTTTATCCATTCAGTAATGCATTCTTTTTATTCCGAGTTTGGAGGAGGCTGCCAGTCACTGAGGGAAGTGCTTTGCTCGTGTTATCTCCTTGCATCCTCCTGGCAATCCCACAAACATAGCATGAGGTACCAGTCCCATTCTGTAGACGGGGAAATTGAGACCCTGAGAGATTCATGATTTACCTGTGATAACCAGCTAGTGTCTAGTGTGAAGTTTAGGCAAACCCAGGCTGTGGACACCAACACACGATGTCGCAGAGGTCTGAATCTGAGGCGATGGAACTATTTTGCATATTTTCTTCAAGTCTAGCTATATTTAATGAAAAGAAAGAAAGGAAAGGAAATACGTGGGGCTGGACCTGGTGGCCGCTCAGAGGCTGCCCCAGTGCTAGCGTAGGGAGGCCTGAAGCAAGGCCTACGGCCCCAGAAAGGAGACAGTGAAGACGAACTGGGGCAGGTGCACGGGGAAGGGAGAGTTACAGAAAGAACAAGTCGGGTAATGCAGCTTCGGTTTCTGGCCTTCTTGCCAATGCCCTCCTTCCACCCATCCCTGAAATGTAGGTGCGAGGGAGATAATGGCATCTGGGAGAATTAGCCTTCATCTGTAGGTGGACAGGGCAGTGAGCAGGACAGAACCTACGGGCCAGAGTCAGGAGGTCTAGGCTGCCGGCGGGGAGGGGTGGTGGCCCTGCTTGGGTCTGGATCCAGGAGCATCCAGGCTGGCCTGTCAGTGAGGCTGATTGTTGAGAGCCTAGGTAGGTGACCCAGTCTCAGCCAGATGAGCTACTGGGATTTGGGACAGGGCTTCAGGCCCAGCATTTGGGGAAATAGCATATAAGCTATTTCATATAGAATATATTTAGTTTGTATTTATAGAATATGTAGGAGACATTTTTTATTTTAAAAAATCAAAAATGTTTATCCCTGCTGGGGTCAAGAAGATGCCCTGTGGGATGGAGCAGACCTGAATTCAAACCGCAGCTTAGTGATCTTGGGTGGGCCTGGCATCCTCTGTGGACTTCAAATTTCTTACCTATAAGATAGGAGTCCCTAACTCCTAGCTCCAAGGGACTGGGTCTGAAGTATAAAAATGAGATGCTAATTATGGAATGCTTAGTGTGGAACCTCAGATCCAAGCAAATAGATATTTAAAAAGCCATAGCTGGGGCGCCTGGGTGGCTCAGTTGGTTAAACGTCTGACTTCGGCTCAGGTCACGATCTCGCAGTTCATGAGTTTGAGCCCCACATCAGGCTCTCTGCTGTCAGTGCAGAGCCCGCTTTGGACCCTCTGTGTCCGTTCTTCTCTGCCTCTTGCTTATGTGCATTTTCCTCTCTCTCTCTCTCTCTCTCTCTCTCTCTCTCTCTCTCTCTCTCAGAAATATTAAAGGAACACCTGGGTGGCCCAGTCGGTTAAGTGTCTGACTCTTGGTTTTGGCTTAGATCATGATCTCACGGTTTCTTGGGTTTGGGCCCCACATCGGGCTCTGCACTGACAATACAGACCCTGCTTGGGATTCTCTCTCCCTGTCTCTCTGCCCATTCCCCACTCGTGCTGTCCCTGTCTCTCTCAAAATAAATAAATAAACTTTAAAAATATATTCAAAAATAAATAAAAAGCCATAGCTGTTATGATTCTGTTTGTGGCTTGGTGGCTCCTTTGCTGTCGGGGGGCAGGGGTGGGGTCACTCCAAGCACGCTGGTCACAGGTCTCAGGGTGGCAGGTTCTGTCTGCCCACCTGCTTGCCTTCTTGGGCCTGCCTCTGTCAATTCAGGAAGGGGGGACTTGGTGGGGGCTTAGGCTGCCTGTGGGTAGCTGGGGTCTCTCAGTGCCTCCAGCTGGGCAGAACTCAGAAACGTCTTAGCTGACCTAGAGGAAGTGACGTTTGAGGTGAGCCTCAAGGATGCACGGGATTTCCCCAAGGTAAGGAAAGAGGAGGAGGCATTCCTGGCGTGGGCCTTGCAGGTCTGGAAGTATCTGACATACTGGTGGTGGGAGGTGCGGGGGGAGGGGGGGTGTTGTGAGGAGACGGGG